ATTCTTTCATACACATGAGTTTCAGAAGAATGGCGACATTGATGTTCAACAACTTCGTTCAAGTGATAATTTGGCCGATTTAGTTACAAAAACACTGCCAACATCTACATTTAAGAAACTGGTTCACAAGATTGGAATGCGTCAAATCAAAGATTTTCATAAGATTGGTTTTTATTATAATACAAACACAAGTCTGTTGACTTTTATTCTTTATTCTGTTTTTCTCTGATTTCATAACAATTTAAATTTTTTATTTCAACTTTATTAAATGGAAAATGAAATTACTGGTTTTGTCATTTTGATAAATAAGCTGTCATAAATGAATAATTTTTTTAAAAGAAAAATCAAGTAAATAATATGCGATATTATTGTTTTCTATTTTGAGTCTTAAAAAGGATTTCTTATCTATTATAAGCTCATGTTTTAACTTTTTACCATTTTACAATTCAGCCCATGTTTGCCCCGTTAAATTTAATTTATTTTTCTCTCTTCTTTTATCAATTACACATTCTTTCAATAAAAATGATATTACACAACCCAAAAATTCTCTTCACTCTTTAACCGCACATTAAAAAAAAAAAAAAAACTATTCCAAAAGCAATTTTTGTCAAATAATGGAGCTCAAACAAGGGCTCAATATACTTTCAAGAATTCGTAAATTATTTTTTATTTTTATTTTTATTTTTATTCTTGACGTACTAATGAATTTAAAAAAAAAATGTCAAGTCAATAATAGGAATTGGAAATACTTGAATTAATCGAAAATGAATTTATGAAAAAGATACATGTAAGAGCGAAAAGTTAATTGTTCAGATGGAAGAGTAATAGAAATTAATAATAAATGGCATGTAAAGCGTTAAGTATGGTAAAATGAATGTGATTTGTTATTCTTAATTTATGTATTTTCGTATGTTTCATCATTTACAATAAAAAAATTGTAAATATTTCTATTTTGTCCTGCAATTTTTTTATTTAACCCGTAAATATGCAAAATGTAATTTTTCAAAATATGATAAGTAAATTGTAAATACACTTTAAATATAGGATGTATTTTGTAAATTTCCCTAGTAATAAAAATACTATTCTCTATAGATAAAATAACAGTGCGTTTGAGGGAATTTATTTTCTATGAAAAATGTCATTTTTCACCTAAATTCTTATTTTTAGGATGTTTGATCGACAATTTTTTCTATGATATACCTATCATCACAAAATTTTCTCTACTAGGAATCAAAATTTTCCAGTATTGAATAGGGTTACAAGAAAACAAACCAACGAAGTTTATGATACATCCATAAGCACATCATATCCTCATTTTCAACAAATTGTTTTGTCATTTAGAGACTAAAGATCCCATTAAATCTTATTTTCAATAAATTTAGAGTTGACTACATAAATTGGTTCGCTCCGCAACTCCGAATCTTTACAAATACATGATACGAGTTCTAAAACTATTATAAATTTGACATTCACATTTAGAAAATATATAAATTAGAGCATCACAAACTTGAGGTGGGTGAAGTGTAATTGTGTAGCATTTTTCCAATCCATCCTTTGCGCGACTCATACAGTGATAGAAAACGAGAATCTTGTTTACACAAATCAACCCAATTACCACAGACCCTTTTTGAAGGACTAATAACCATTTGCCCTAAGTTGGTTGCAACTCGCAGCACAATGATCGCAAACTCAATTTCATACCAATTACCAACACAGCCATGCATCTCAAATTCTTTAAGTTGATCATGAAATGTTGCGTATTGTTTCAGAATGTCTGGATTTTGATCTCCCTTCGACTTTGACCCCAACGACTACAAAGTATGAACATTAGTGGATAAAAAAGATACTTGCAATAATATAGTAACGAAAAAATTTTAGTAATGAAAAGGAATTCATATAGCTGACTCTAAATTTATTATAAAATGTGTAAATGACAATATTTTATCGTTAGAACAAGTTTCTGCATAAGAGGAGAAGCTTTCAATTGAGACAAAAACCGAAAGAGTTGAAAATTCTTGGAGTATGTGTTAGGTCTAAAGTGTATTAGCGAGTTTTGTGTTCAAAATTTTATTTAATCGAGTTGTTAGAGTTGATAGTGTTTTTGGAAGGAGTCAATTTAGCTCAAAAAGACCAAGTTGAGACAAACACGTTCGAAGCCCGCCAAGTGTAGCGCTCGAGCAATTTTAGTAGCTAAGTGACCACTCGATGTTCGGTAAGGAAGTGATTTAGCAGACAGACCTTCGCTTGTTGTTCATGAGGCGATCACATGAGCGGACGACATATCCGGTAAAACCCTAGATCGCAATCTTGAGACTTTTTACAATTCCAAACAACCTCAAGCACTTCATATGTTATAAATATCCAAACCTTATTTCATCTCTATGGTGGGATGAGCCTTTATTCATTCAAGAGAACATCCCGTAGAAGTTCAAACATCAATTTCATAATTCAATAGACTCAACCACTAGATCAAAACACAAAAAGTACCAAAAGATCAAAACACTAATAAAATCATTTACCAAATAACTTTCAGAGTTCTAAAGATTGGGAGATGAGACTGGAGTTCTAATTTGTGAAGAACGAGTTTGTTCTTGATGATCCACAAGAGGAAAAAGAAAGTGTTAGAGCACACAAATGTAGAGTTCTTCGGTAATTACATGTTGGGTGGTCGAGTTTATTAAGATTTAATTGTGTCAGAACCAATTGTAAGTAAAATCTTTTCTAGTGGATCTTTTACTTGTAAATAGTACTATGAGGTTTTTATCTCTTGAAGAGTTTTTCAAGGGGTTTTCCTCACAACCAAATCTTGGTTTTGATTACTTTACTATTTTGAAATTTATTCTTGATTGATTGTTAGGCTTTAAACTTTAAACTAACTTGAAAATTCATCCAAATACAATAATTTATGACTTGTTGCCTGTTATTATTTATTTAATTTTAATTTTGCACATTACACCTATTTACCCCACGTTAAATGTTAGTTGCGTCGAAACTCGTTATTTTAATATGAACTTATAAAAAGGTTGAGTTCTTAAAACATCAATGTTTTCTGGCAATTCCATTAAACGTCATAATAAAAACGTTGATGGATCCAAGTGCATCCAAATGGAAGATTTCAAAAAGCGATTTTAACTCGGTTCGACGATTTCGTTGTCAATCCTAGAATGTGCTATTACAAATGCGCTTTACTACATGGATAAGAAACACACGATTTTAGAAACGGAACGTGGACGGCAGAGGTTCGCTGAGAAAAATACGGAAAATCAACGGTCACAACCCAAACTAATTTTTCATTCAAAGGGCGATTTCTCAGTCGCCTCCCGAAACAATTCAGCGGCGGAGTAAAAGAAGCAAGCCAAATCCTGTCTCTCCATCTACCAACTCTCAATCTGTTCCGTTTTCCAAAGGTAATTCATTTTTTTATTCTCATAATTGGTTTCATTTTCTTATCTTGTATTTAGTTTAAAGAATTTCATTTTTAAATTAGTTCGATCTGAATATTAGGGTTATATATATATATTCTTTCTCAAAATATACTGTACACTGAATTTTTTCCTCTTTGAAGAATCTCTTGTGCTGCTTTAGTTTATTTTTTTAGTTTGATTCACAAGGAGTCGAGCTTTGACAATTGCGTTTAGGTCGGCGTGGTGGAATTTTATTCGCATAAGATTTTTTCTCTGAGATTCGATTAGTATTGTTTTTTTCCTTTAGTCGGTAATTCTAAAGTCGGGTAACAGTCGTAATTTATTTGGATTTATTTCGAGCATATTTGGTCTTGCTCTAAACTATTAATTTTTTCAAACATAGTTTTTTAAATCTAACTTTCTTCTCATCAATGAATCTTATTTTCACAAACACTAATTTTTAATTTTTTTTAAAGCTAATTTTAAACTAAACTCTTCTATTTAACGTCTGTATTCGGTACACAGTGCTTCTCCTACCACGCACAAATTCAATGGATTCCATTGAAGACATTTTTGATTCTGCGCTTAATCTAGAACAATCCCACTACGAAGAAGGTTACGAAGAAGGCTATGCAAACGGGTTAGTCTCGGGTATAGAAGAAGGACGCCAGGTGGGTCTGAAAACGGGGTTCCAAGTGGGCGAGGAATTGGGTTTTTACAGAGGCTGCATTGACATCTGGAACTCCAGTATCCGGGTCGACCTGAATCACTTCTCGACCCGGGCCAAGAAAACCATAAGCCAGATGGATGAATTACTCAAGAAGTACCCGATATCCGACCCTGAAAACGATTCCGTATCTGATGTTATGGAATCTTTAAGGCTCAAGTTTAGAGCTATTTGTGCCACACTGAATGTTAAATTGGAGTATAATGGGTACCCTAAAGCCTCTGATGTTGAAAATATTGAATTTTGAAATTTTGGGTTGTGAATTCTATACATATAGTTTGAAGTTTTGCCCCAAGTGAAAATATTTTTATTTTATTATTAGGGTTTTCGTGTTCTGGCTGTATAATGGGATGTTACGAAAAGTTTTCTTTTCTGGGTATGCAGGGTAATTGATATATTTCGACGCGGAGCTGAGTTATTGATTTTTTTTATGGTATTGTTATTGTAGCAACAAAGGGGTATTTGACATATGTACACTGTATCAATCTTTGGGATGTATGTGTAGATGCTCCAAATTTCTTTGAAATACGACTGGTTTCGTTGTTGGAACTATATGCATAAGCAGCGTATCATTAAACGTGTAATCTCATTGTAACTTTCTCAAATTAGATTCTGCTGATCCATGAAGGTAAGCATTGACAATAATTACATGTTTGACTAGACTTAAAAGTAATTAAAATTTTCTCTATGTATGTTTTCACATATTATTTATTCATACTTATAAGTAAAAAAAATTATTTATTTTGAGCATCTTTCATGAAGTGAGTTCATTGGAAATTTTATAAATTTCAGCCCACCACAATATCGTAGGGTTTCTTTCCAATGGCAGAAACAAAATCAGCTATGAGGAAGCCAGTTTTCACCAAGGTTGATCAGCTGAGGCCTGGAACTAATGGACACAATGTTGTAGTGAAGGTTGTGAGTGCCAATGTTGTAATGCAGAAGGGGAGGCCAGATGGGCCCCAACTACGTCAAATGCGGATTGCTGAATGCTTGGTTGGAGATGAAACTGGGACCATTGTGTTTACGGCAAGGAATGAGCAAGGTATGGCAGTCCCTTGTGGTGATTTTGATTCTTCATTAAAGTTATGGTTCTTTATGATAACTTTATGATGAATTAAGGTCCTTTATTAACTTCCATAGTTCATGAAGTTCTCCCCTATCCCACTGCTGCTGGTGTTTGGAGTGATATTAAGGGCTTTAATTGCATTGTTTTTGGATGTTGTGGCCCCCTTTATTCCTTACAGTTTTACGAAGATCTGCTTGTCACTATATTGGATTTAGCTTATGAATATTGATGATGTAGCAGAATTATTTTTGAGATGACATGCAATTTCAAATTATTATACAAGGAATTTAAGCTAACTTGACTCCGCTGACTTTTAGACTTTAGCTTAAAGTTTAAACTTTTGATATATTTTCGTACTCTAAATTTCCTCGGCCACAAAGGTTTGTGCCTTATTACGTATAAATTGTGAGTGATGATGGTTCTTTCAGTATTGTACTCGATGTTACGATCCTATCTGATTCACAAATCACGATTCAACCGTGTAGGATTTTATTTCTTAATTGGAATCCTGATTGATGGATGTTCATAAACCATCCTCTAGTTCACTTTTCTGTCTGGTTTTGGTAGAAACCATGGGCTCATCGTAGTTAACTTAGCTATAGTTTTGGTGTAGCTGCTATTGAGTTCATTTCGTTCTTATGTAGAATTGAGTGCATCCAACTTCATGTGTTGGAGTCTAATTGCATTTCTGGTGACACATCCATCTTGCAGTGGACCTGATGAAGCCTGAAAATACGGTAATATTACGAAATGCAAAAATTGACATGTTCAAGGGGTCAATGAGGCTTGGCGTGGACAAGTGGGGACGTGTTGAAGTTACGGAACCAGCCAGCTTTACTGTCAAGGAAGATAATAACCTGTCGTTGGTTGAATATGAATTGGTCAATGTTGCGGAGGAGTAACTGCTTTAATACAATTCCTTCTATTACAGGGCCAAATCATTTAAATCAGGCAGAATGTGGTATTAGGAGATTGGCAAGGCGATAAATTTGTTGTTTTTCTGGTCCTGGTCCTCTTGTTTGCATGATGCACAGAAAGTTCTTGAAGGATCCAAAAGTCTCTCTCTATGAATAGGATCTCCAGCTGTTCCAAGGCACCGTCTTTCAGTTAAGCTGGTGGAGTAATAAGAATCATTTGATAACACATGACATGGAAACTTTAGTTGTGAATGTTAAAGACATGTTAACCCCGTTATGAGATCTCGTATATACTAATCTTATTTGCAAAGTGCAGTTTCTCAACTTTTTTGAGTTTTATCTGGAATGCTTGATACGTTTCCATGCATCATTAAATGAAGATTGTATATTTATTTGTGGAAATAAAGGTTGGAATCTGGTTTGGTTTTTAGTTATCTACTACTCTGAAGATACCTATTTGTAGTTTAAATTGTAATTCATAACATGAAAAGGTCTTCTTGGCTCAATTAATGGATGAAAGTGAGTGGTTGGTAGAGCTACCGTGAGATTATAGCAACTTTTCATGTAGATGTAGACGTGTAAATTGGGTCTTTAAGCTCGCTTTTATCATTGAAACTATATGGGTCCTGTTCGGTCCGTGCTGAGACAGGCTCAGCTTTGTGTGTTTGTGTAACATTCCAAATCACACTTTTTTTTCTTGTTCCTTTCTAATATTTATGGATAAACTACTAATATTATAATAATGGAAAATCCTTGATTAATGATCCATTTGGTTTCTACTTCTACATTCAATACTGACAAGGAGGCCCGAAATTTGTGCTTATCAAGTATCAAAATTTCTATATTTCAGAATCTTAATCCCTTCGGAGTACTATCTTGAGCTCAAGATTCCAATTTATTGTGCCATAACCAATAGAGATTCACCACTTTTGCAAGTCATGAGGTCATAGGCTCTAGAATTTTGATTTCGTCTGTTCCTACAGCCACTCTATTTGCTTTCTTATTTCTATGTCGAGTAATACTATTTATCACTATAGGTGTTTAACACCAATCTGGATGGCATCACCCGTGTTATTAAATTATAGATTCAATTAAATACAAGAATTTATAATTCATTTATTATGATTTAACACATACTTATACCTAGACTGATGCTATGTAGTATTATTTTTCTATCCGTGGCCACCCAACTGTGGGGAAGACGGCATTGAGCATGATAGATAGTAGTCTTTCATCATCTTCTTCTTCCAATGGATCTATCCCGAAGCAACACACATAAATAGCTTCAAGGGCTTTCTCTGCCCGAACTTCCATCAGAATAGATGGGACCGGAGCTCTTAGTTTTGCCCGTTTCGCAGAAAGACAACCATCATGCGCATTAGTAAGTCTAATTAACCAAAGACAGGTCAAAAGACCCAAATATCGTCTCTGCTAATGTTTTTCCCCAGATACATTAACAGATCCTCTTTCAGAAGGGGAACGGAATAGCACTAATGATGACTCAACAAGCATAAGGTTCTCATGCTAGCATTCTGAAATAGTATATCTCTAGTAATGGTTTCTAGCAAACTTCAACTTCGTGTTCTATGCAGAGGGATTATCGTATTTGTGGTCTCACTTGAACTTGGAATGCAAAGCCTGTTCATTAGTACATTTGCTTAGAGCATCTTCGATAGAGTTCTGGATTGCTCTAAAAATTTGCCACGCTAAAATGCAACACCTCGATGTCCAAGGTGGTAAGAGAGAAACAAAGTGGGTGTGTGATGTCAAGGTGTCGCATTTGGAATGGTCAGCGGTCCAAGTGTAGCGATTTGAACAAGCAATCTATCATGTATGCATATAAGACCATTCTATTGAAACTTCTCTTCTTGTAGAGGGTGTGCTAGACATCCTCCACTTAATTTTTTTATAATTTATTTTCACGAGAATATGTGTTCATTTAATTCGCTCTTTCTCCACATCCTCTCCCTGTACATTGCCTTGGAGCATGTTTTAAACCATACAAAAATTTATTCAAAAGGCACACCAAGCTTTTCTTTTTCTTATTTTCAAAACCTTTTGGTTGAGTCATGTATATAATTTCATCTAAAGAATCATATAAAAAAAACAATTTTCATATCAAGTTGTTCTAATTCTAAATCAAATTGTATCACAAGAGCAAGTACAATTCCGATAGATGTGTGTTTCACAATAGGATATTGCAGCAAGCCACCTAGCAAACTCTTTACAGGTTATTGTTTCTTCATAAGAAGTGGGTTCTATGTTTAAGGCAAAGCTCGACGTATGGTTGTTGTCAAGGCAAGCAGTGAACCATCAATATAATTATTACTAAAGTCCATGAAACATTTTACACACTCATTCTCCCAAATTTAAATAATTTTTCTCCAAAACCCGCTTCTTAAATTTATATATTTGAGGGTCAATTGGTTGCCTTGGTACAAAAATTTATATAAAGCCAACGCTATAGAACCTTGACAAGTTAATACTGTAAGTGTTATGCTCTAAGTTCAATCAACTTTGGACAT